AGCCTCAATCCAAATATCTCATGATTTAGAGATAAGTCAAAGTTTTTACAATTGTGAAATGCCATTGTATTTGAACTAATCATAGTAATGGAGAAACTGTAAATCTATAATACATTGGTTTTGGAGACTCTGATATCCTGAGAAGATTTTAATTCTAATGTTCCTTCAGTAATATTGAAGGAATGAGAATGTTGACAGTAACAGATATTCAAGGCCAAAATTTTATAACTTCAATCTTTTATACAGATACCTTTAATATAGCAAAGCCAATTTCTAAAATATCCTTTAAAATTAATGTCAGATTCAACACTTGGATAGAAGTAGATTAACTGTTTTAAAAATAAAATCTAAAAATTAAATGTCCAAGATCTTTAGTTTCTTACTAAAAGATTTTAATTCTTAGGGAATTACTTTTCTTTAGTCATTGACTGATAGGAGGAAACAACTTTCTCCAAAGTTATAAGTATATATATTGAACATCATCTGGGAAACATTTTAGCCTCATGAAAATAATGTGCCATATAGCTGGGAGACAACTTATAGTTATTTTAAATAGGATAAAATTTAAAACCATAGTTTCTTTTTCTTAGGTTTAATACTGGTCCTGCCCTGCATAGATGTGTTTGTCAAAGTTGATCTCCGAACTTTTACTTGCAACATTCCTCCACAAGAGGTAATACTGGTTAAAGATATGTTACTAGAATAAAACCTATGTCATCTCTGTTACATGAACAATTTAAATTTTACAGGATGTTTTCAAACTATAAGAGGGAAGATGAACTAAATTCCTAGACCTGCTTGAGAGTTTGAGGTGGCTCCAAAAACTACTGGGTTTTGTTTTGCCAAATGAGAATAAAGCCAAGTTTAAGAACTAAATTGCCAGAAGACTTAGGTGAGAGAAAGCCAAGAAAAGAGATAAGAAGTCCAGTTGACAGAGAAACCAGAATGCAAAATGACAGAGTAAATGCTTAGAAGAGTGATAAATCACTATATGAAGGACCCAAATTTAATTTGGTATAGGGCAGTGGTTGGTTATGATATCATCCTCTCCCATCACCGTCTCAGACATTTTTTTTTAGTAATATCTATATTACTTCTGCTTTAGAAGTTTTTGTGTGTTTAATGCAACAAACTGGGGTCAAAGTGAGGAAAGAGGAGATATAGCACAGGGCCCATCTGTACATGAATTTCAAACACTTCTATTCAATTCTTAAAGTACTGCACATAAGTGACCAAAAAGAGTACCTGGGCAATAAGTAAGAGAAACAGAGCTATTAATAATCATGTCACCCTTTGATAACCAAAATGATCTGGGAAGAGGAAAAAAAATGTGAATAGTACCTATGATGTGGGAGGGGAAAGGTCATAAGACAGAAAATCACCATTTATGAATAAATATTTATTTTCTTCTCTGTGCTCCATGAAACTCAATCGAGAACCATGCCACCAGAGGGAGCCACAGAGTCCTCATCTTAGAATTCACCCTCAATCATAAGAGAGTTTGAGATGCTTAGTGACCTATCCTGAGCCTCTTCTGGCTCCATATTAGACAATTATAGATGAGAAAAGTGAGTTCTAGGTTCTGCTCGCATGGTACGCCCCCACAAATTTATCATTTGCTGCAAAACATCTTATCATATTATTCAGTATGATTAATGCAGAGTCTCTATATAAAGCTAAATTGATTTTTAAAATTAAAATCATGGGATGATATTGGTTAATAAAATCAAATAGGTTTCAAGTATATAATTCAAAATATGTCATACATATATTGCATTCTGTATTCACCATTCAAAGTTAAATTTCCTTCCAAATATTTCTCCCCTTTACCTTTATCTACCTTCCCCTTCCCCCTTCCCTCTGATAACAGCAAATCCACTGTCCATATCAATGAGTTTCTGTTTGTCGCTTTCAGTTTTATATCCTACATATGAGTGAAATCATATAGTTCTCAACTTTTTCTGTCTGACTCATTTCGTTTAGCATGATAATCTCATGATCCATAATGTTGTCACAAATGGCAGTAATTCATCTGTTCCTATGGCTAATATTCCATTGTATGTATGTACCACATCCTCTTCATCCAGTCACCTATCAAAGGACACTGCATTCAGTTGTTTCCATGTCTTGGCCACAGTGAATAATGCTGCTATGAACATTGGGGTGCATATATATTTATGAATAAAAGTTTTCAAGTTTCTTCAGTAAATATTCATAGGAGAAATTGCTGGGTCATATGGTAATTCTTTTCTTAGTTCTTTGAGGAAACTCTATACTGTTTTCCATAGTGGCTATACCAATTTATATTCCCACCAGCAGTGTATGAGGCCTCCTTTCCTCCCACAACCTCTCTAACATTTGTTATTACTTGTCGTGTTGATGATAGCCATTCTAACAGGTGTGAGGTGATATCTCTTTGTGATTTCGATCTGCATTTCCCTAATAGCTGGTGAAGTTGAACATCTTGTTATACATCTGTTGGCCATTTGTATATCTTCTTGGGAGAAGTGTTGGTTCAGGTCCGCTGCCCATTTTTTAATTTGTTTTTTTAATTGTTGTATAAGTTTTTTGTATATTTTGGATATTAGCCCCTTATCGAAGGTGTTGTCTGCAAATAGATTCTTACATTCAGTTGGTTGCCTCTTTGTCTTGTTGATGGTTTCTTTTGCTGTGCAAAAGCTTTTCAGTTTAATATAGTCCCATTCATTTGTTTTTACTTTTACTTCCCTTGACTTTGAGGTAAAGATTCACAAAATTCTCCCTAAATCTAAGGTCTATAAGTTTAGTACCTGTGTTTTCTTCTATGTAAATTTATTATTTCAGGTCTTATATTTAGGTATTCGATTTGTTTTTAGTTAATTTTTGTGTATGGTGAGAGATAGCAGTTTAGTGTGGTTTTGCAATTTTCCCAGCACCATTTATTGAAGAGTCTTTCCTTGTGTTCTCAATTTCACTTACTTCTGCTCTAATTTTTATTCTTTCCTTCCTTCTGCTGACTTTGGGCTGCATTTGTTCTGCTTTTTCTAGTTTTTAAAGATGTAATAGTAGGTTGTTTATTTGGGATCATTCTTGTTGTTTGAGATAAGCTGGTAATAATATGAACTTTCTTCTTATACCACTTTTGCTGTGTCCCAATAGTTTTTTTATGTTGTACTGTCGTTCTTGTTTGTTTCTATGTATCTCTTGATCTATCCTTTTATTTCTTCTTTGACTCAGTTGTTCTTTAGTAGCATGTTGTTTAATCTCCACATATTTGTGGGTTTTCCCACTTTCTTTTTGCAGTTCATCTCATTTCAGAGCATTATGGTCAGAGAGTATGTTTAGTATGATTTCAGTCTTCTTAAATTTGTTGAGGCTAGTTTTTTGTCCCAACATATAATCAGTCCTTGAGAATGTTCCATGTTGACTAGAGAACAATGTACAATCTGGTGTTTTGGAATGAAAGGCTCTGTAAATGCCAGTTATGTCCAACTGGTCTAAGGCATCTTTAAGGCTGATATTTCCTTATTGATCTTCTGTCTTTGGTGTATTTATGTATCCTACTCAATTATGTTTTTGTCATTTCTCCCTTTAGTTCTATTAGTAGTCACTTAATATATTTTTGGGGCTCCCTGATTGGGAGCATAAGTATTGATAAATGTTATGTCTTCTTGATTAATGGTCTCCTTTTTCATTACAAAGTGTCCATCATTGTCTCTCATTATCTTTTCATTCTGAAGTCTATTTTGTCAGATATAAATACGTCTACATCTACTTTTCTCCAGATGACATTTGCTTATAGTGTCATTTTCCATTCTTTCACTTTAAGTGTATGTTAGTTCTTATAGCTGAGATACGTCTTTTGAAGGCAGCATATAATTGGTTTTTTTTTTTCGATACAATCTGCTACTCTATGCCTTTTAATTGGTGAGTTCAGTCATTTACATTAGGATAATTATGGAAATATGAGGTTTTTCTATAACCATTTTATCTTCTGTTTTCTGGTAGCTTGATGTCTCCATGGTTTCTGTCTGTTATTTTAAATTGGTGGTATTCTATGACTTTTCCCTTTGTTTCCTCTTGTTTTATGTTATGTGTCTCAGTTCTGGATATCTTGTGTGTGATTACCATTAATTTTATATAAAAGAAAGTTTCATATACGCAGTGGTCCTTTTAAAACGGCATGTGTTTCATCTCCATTCCCTTTGCAGATTCAGACACTTACTCCTCCTTTCTGTTTTTGTTGTCTCAAATTATTTCTATTTATGTTGTGAGTTCATTTCTGAGTTGCAGTAGCTATTTCTCCTTTTCTTTAAAACGTTTTTTTGACCCTTAACCATTATGTAATATTTAAGTTTATAAACTCTATCCTTAATAAGGGTTGCAATTACCTCTTTCTGCCTGTTACTCAATTTACTCATAGCATTGTATTTTTTTGTTCTTTTGATTCAGGTCGAATAACCTTCTACATTATTTCCTGTAATGCAGGCCTTGCAGTGGAAAATTCCTCAGCTTTTGTATGTCTGAGAGGATCTTTGTTCCTTCATGTCTAAAGGAGAACTTTGCTAGATATATTATTCTAGGCTGATATTTTCTCTATCTCAATTGTTAAACATATATTTTTTAATTAATAAAATGTAATTTTTTTTATGGTAACATTGGTTAATGAAAACCAATAAGTTTCAGCGGTACACTTTACTAGTAAGAGATATATATATTTACACTATGTCACTACATATTTAACCCTTTTTACTCCATCTACCTCCCTCCTTCCCGCTATTCTCTGGTAACCACCAGTCTATAGTCTATAGTCCATGTCCATGAGTCTCTATTTGTTTGTCCTGTTCATTTGGTGCTTTTAGGTTTATATCCTACATATAAGTGATATCATGTGATTTTCAACTTTTTCTGTCTGGCTTATTTCACATAGCATGATTATCTCGAGATCCATCCACGTTGTAGCAAAGGGCAGTATTTCATCTCTTCTTATGGCTAAAAACACTAATACAATATTCCATTGTATATATGTACTATAGCTTCTTTAGTCTATCATCTATCGTAGGACACTTCGGTTGCTTCTATGTCCTGACCACTGCGAATAATGTTGCTATGAACATCAATGTGCAAATATCTTTTTGAATATGAGTTTTCAAGTCTTTGGGGTAAATACTCAGTAGTGGGATTGCTGGATCATATATGGTAGATCAATTCTTAGTTTTTTGAGGAACGTCCATACTGTTTTCCAGA